CAAGCAAACACAGACCAGTTAACCCCTACTCAAGCACTGATCAAACAGAGTTCGTTCACCGTCGTTCGTTTTACATCACTTTGAAAGATAACACTACACGACTTTCCAGGTTGCAAAAGTAATGATGCATAGCAGCAATGAACCAGAACCGCCAAATGCAACCTCTGCGGTTGGTTGCAGCCCCTGCTGTTGGCGCTGCACGCTAGTTAGCGGTCCATCATGTACCGGCCCCTTCACAACCCGCTGTGTCTGTGGTCGGGGCGTCTTTGCACTGCGGAGTGTGGGGTTAGGAGTCTTAGCTGCAGCGCCGGGGTCGCTGCTGCCATCGACCTCGATGCCCGTGTTTTCTGGCCCATCGCGATTGCCTTCATATGAAGAACGTTGACGTTTGGCACGCTCGCTGTTCACAACCGGAGTGGCGTCATTGTCGCCGGCTGGCTGCAGCATTGCATCCTCATTGCCTACGACCTCTAGGCCGTCTTCATTAACGTCGCTAATGGCTTCAGTGAAGTTTAATATCTTCTTTAATGGACTTCCACGTTTTGGGAGCTTCGGGTCCGAATATTTTGCAGCGTTTGGTCCGGTCAGAAACAGTCCGATTCCTCGTTGACTTTCGGGCGTGACCTTCCTAACAGTATCCATGGCATTAAAGTACTATGATATGGCTAAAATGTATGTCTCCTGTAAGATTCTAGCGGCTTTGGCATAAACAGTCCATTATTGGCTGGAGGAATGAACTTGTACGGTCAGAACATGATTTATTCTTAATTTTCAGGACCGCAAACAATCTTTTATTCCGAATTCAGAATATTCCGCAAAAAAAACGCTGGTACCCGCATGCATCCGTACGCGCGCACCTGAACGCTCCTGAACGCGCGCACCCGAAAGCACCTGAATGCGCGCGCCCGAACGCACCCAAACGCACCCGAACGCGCGCACCCGAACGCACCCGAACGCGCCCGAACGCACCTGAACGCACCCGAACGCACACCCGAACGCACCCGAACGCACCCGAACGCACCCGAATGCAAATATGCAATGCGATGTACATATGCAATGCGATGAAAATATGCAATCCGATGCAAATATGCAATGCAAATATGCGATGCAAACATGCAATGCAAATATGCAATGCAATGCAAACGCACGCGAACACGCGCACCCGAACGCATCCGAGCGCGCGCACCCGACCGCACCCGAACGCGCGCCCCCGCATGCATCCGATCACGACCGCGACCGTGACCGCGACTGTGACCTTTTGGAAGTTCGTGTGAAGCTTCACACGAACTTCCCAAAAAAACAAGAAAACATATACATATGTACATATATATAAAGACGAGAGGACCGCGACCACGACCGCGACCGTGACCGCGACCGATGTAGGTGCGACGCACCGACGGACCTCGGACGACCTCGGACCGCACGGATATAATTATAATATATCGCCATAGCTCCTACGGTGACATATTATATTTAAAGAATAAGAATTCGCCGAATACACACAACACCATAGCTCCTATGGAACGATAAGGATTCGCTAGAATATTTGCTAGAATACATTTCTGTATCGCGCTTTGCTGAAAACTGCCAGTAAGGTCTTTACACGAGTTCTGGACAAAAAATCTGGTGGTGCTATCGCCATCGGAATTTTTGTGTAGTTCAGCGAATAAGCAGCGGCCGCTCACAACAAGTACTTGGCAGCTGTGGCCATGGAGTCGGCGTGTGAAACAGCCCAGAACCGCTTTACAAGAGGAAACATCTTCTTCGAGTGCGTGAGTTCTGTGGGAAGAGAACCTCTACGGGAGATTCTCGGGTTCAAGTTACATAGTTGTTTTAGTCCCGAACATGCATGCATGTGCACGCACCGAAACACCCAAACCTGCATGCATATGCACACACCTGAACACACATCCACATGCATGCACCCAAATGTGCATGCATGAGAAGCAGAGGCCACCCCGAACAAACATCCGTCCAGCGAACATCCGTCCGGGCGTTCTATGGGAAGGGAACCTATCCAGGAGGTTGGGCAGGCAACATAGGGCAGGCAACATAGGCCACAGTAAAAGGCTCGGGACGGGAGCTACGGCACCCTCAGGACCGACGCGACTGTGCCTCATAATATCTCACCCAGCTGAAACACGTTATTGGTACTATATAGCATTCTCTATTGCAAGGTATCTTGCCTGTAGCCAACAAAATCAAATGAGCACAAATGAGCACAAACAACTTTGGCTGCCTCAATTGACCGAGGCCAAAGTAACATCAACGACTCTCAGGCTAAATTTATTCTCAAATACTGTGTATCTCATATTCGAATTCTTAGATGACATCGTATGATAACTCGAACTCCCAGGCCTTGAGTGTGTAACGGACCAAACATAATAGTTACAAGTTACAAGTTCCGCACACAAAGTGCGGGTGTGTCCGTAAAAGCCGGGGGGGCCATGGACGTTGTATTGGTATTGATGCGGGTACGCGGGAGGTCATCTTCATTCTCCCTCGTCCGCTTCAGGGCGAAGCGCCTCAGCGCGACGTGCCTGGCCTCCCAGATTTCCGAGAGGTACCTGGCCAATGCCAGGGGTGGCGCCTCAGTCATAGTGGTGCGCATGCTGCGCCCCGTAAGGACTAGGTCACCATCATACTTAGCCCGTATGCTCTTGTAAGCGGGACATTCTTCGAAAACATGCAACTCATCTTCAACCGCTCCACAGTCACAAAGCCTGCAGGTACGCGCGGTGCGCTCACGCCCATTAGGTCTATTAACCTCTAACTCCCAACAGCCTAACCGAAAACGCATGAGCACATGATGAAGTCGCTGGGGCATGGTCCCTTTAGTGTGCTCCAGCCAATCAAGACGCGCACCCCTTGACGGGGCAGCTCCCATCCAGTTCATATAGCGACACGCCTTGGCTCCGGTAATTCCTATGGGGAAGACGCGGGGGTCACCCAAGGTATTCGGGCACTCCCACCGAGCATCAAGCCGCTTGGCAAAAACCTTAAGAATGCTCTCGACTGGCAATTTAAGGGTTGTGTAGTACGATATAAGATCATTACCGCGCGTATTAGTGGGGGGATCCACTCCTAAGCTAGTAAGGAAGGCTAGTACCTTGCTTGCCCAACACTCAGTGGCGCCCCCAAGTGCCAACTCCAGGTCAGCGACAAATGCCCGGTGACACAACGTTCCCGGCCTCTTAACCACAGAGTTCCAAAACCCTATAATATACCACCCGGCTGAAACGCGTTATCGGCACTATATTACATTCTCTATTGCAAGGTATCTCACCAGTAGCCAACAAAGATCTTATGAGCACAAACAACTTTAGCTGCCTCAATTGACCGAGCTCAAAGTCACATCAACGCCTCTCGGGCTAAATTTCTTCTCAAAAAGCGTATCTCATAATTGAATTCTGAGATGAAAGCGTATGATAACTTGAATACCCAGCTTGTGTTACCATTTGCCCGCACTGGCATTCCGACTTGCCACCAGCAGGCCGACAAATTTGCTTACATTATTCTATGAAATACACAGGCTGCTCGCTTGTACATTTACTTTACCCTACAAACGCGGAGGGGGGTTAAGAAACTTAGGAGAATGCTTAAGAACGATAAGAATGTCTGAAGAACACGGAGGCGTCGGGTGTGCATTCTTAAACATTCTTACACTGGGATTAAGCGGTTTTATGTAAGTATGTCATATAAGTATGCATTAAGAATGCATCAGCCATGAAAACATTCTGTAATGAATGCCTGATGGAGCTCTTATAGTTCCAGGATAGGTAATATATCACAGTGATTGTGAAACAGTGAACATACCATGAAATTTCATGAAAATCATGATTTTCATCCTGGAACTATAAGAGCTGTTGATGATCATCAACATGTGTCGACACATGTTGATGATCTCGCATAATTAGATCTAAGGTCTAGATCTAGACCTAGACGTCTAGGTCTAGATCTAGACCTTAGATCTAATTATGCGAGATCTAACAGGTTTAGACCTGTTAGATGGATTAGTGAGTTCATAGATATCTATGGCTACATCGATGGCTACCCCGATGTTGCCAATAATTAAATCCCCTATCAATCACCATGAATATCTAATGGGCCGCACTGCATATACATCAGTGTACACTGATGGAGGGTGTCAAATTGGCGGCCCATCCTTGCATTCTTGGGGAGTCTTGGCAGGATGCATGAACATGCATCCTGTCAGTTGGATACATCCTACACCCCCTTTCCATATCCTCAAGCCAATGCTTGCTAACATCCCACACCCTGCTGACTGCATCCCCTCATCCTCTGCCATCCTCATCCTTGGTGGGTTGGTGTTGACTCTTCCTGGGTCCACATTTCTATCCTTCTCCTTCCTATCTGTATCATGTGCTCGACCCTCCACTGCATCCTGACTGAGCATTCTGCCACCAAGGGGACGCTTGGTGGTTAATAATTAGCCAGGTGCAGCTGTCAATGAAGGTTTTGGTAAATTCGGTCTCCAGCACCCAAGGGACACCCAAAAGACCGGGTAGAGACACCAAAGGGACACCAAAGGACCAATGGACCAATGGAAGAGACACCAAAGGGACACCAAAGGACACGTGGAAGGGACACCCAAGGGACTTCCAAGGGACATGGGAGGTACACCGTAAGGGATAAGCTTCCTCCCCTTTGGGGAGAACCTTCGGTGTCAAAGGGGTGGCACCGGAGGGTACCATCCTGTACCACCTTGCCACCAGAAGATACCCTCCTGTACCACCTTGCCACCGGAGGATACCCTCCTGTACCACCTTGCCACCGGAGGATACCCTCCTGTACCACCTTGCCACCAGAGGATACCCTCCTGTACCACCCTGCCACCGGAGGATACCCTCCTGTACCACCTTGCCACCAGAAGATACCCTCCTGTACCACCCTGCCACCGGAGGATACCCTCCTGTACCACCTTGCCACCGGAGGATACCCTCCTGTACCACCTAGCCACCGGAGGATACCCTCCTGTACCACCCTGCCATCGGAGGATACCCTCCTGTACCACCTTGCCACCGGAGGATACCCTCCTGTACCAACCTGCCACCGGAGGATACCCTCCTGTACCACCTTGCCACCAGAGGATACCCTCCTGTACCACCTTGCCACCGGAGGATACCCTCCTGTACCACCTTGCCACCGGAGGATACCCTCCTGTACCACCTTGCCAGCAGAGGATACCCTCCTGTACCACCTTGCCACCGGAGGATACCCTCCTGTACCACCTTGCCACCGGAGGATACCCTCCTGTACCAACCTGCCACCGGAGGATACCCTCCTGTACCACCTTGCCACCAGAGGATACCCTCCTGTACCACCTTGCCACCGGAGGATACCCTCCTGTACCACCTTGCCACCAGAGGATACCCTCCTGTACCACCTTGCCACCGGAGGATACCCTCCTGTACCAACCTGCCACCAGAGGATACCCTCCTGTACCACCTTGCCACCGGAGGATACCCTCCTGTACCACCTTGCCACCGGAGGATACCCTCCTGTACCAACCTGCCACTGGAGGATACCCTCCTGTACCAACCTGCCACCGGAGGGTACCCCCCTGTACCACCCTGCCACCGGAGGATACACCGACAGTATCCTAGCACGGCAGGACCGTAGTAGGGAATCTCCGGCAGGTAGGCCGAGATGTAAGCTACCTGGGCGGGGTGCTCTGGTGAGGCACTTAAGCATCACGGCTACTTGGAGTTCAGAGTTCAAGACTCCGCTGCTGCCGTCTCAGATTGTTTCGTATGGGTCTATGTATGCTAGTGCTTGTCGCTGGGTTGGACCTTCTCCCTCCTCAGCGAGGACTCTAAATTCCATGCTTCCGCAAAGCCAGTCGTCCGCCCAGGTGAGCGACTACTACAGTTTCAGTAGCCCCACACTATTCTTGTGGGGGCTTGTAGAAAACACATGAGTCTGCCAGCCTCTCCATGGCAAGCAAGGATGCTTCCATTTGGATTCAGCTAAACATGGCAGTGGCCTCGGGGCGCCTCTTGTTTTTCATGCAGCTGCAGCAGCCAGGGATGGTGTTGGGCAGTGGGCTGCAGCAGGTATGTGGCCATGTCAGGCTGCACGCCAGGATTTTGTACAGGGGCCAGGGCTGATAGCTGAGTTGCTGAACAGGTGTTGAGTTGTTTGTCGTACATGCACATATGTTCGTGTACGGCACTTGGCGCAGCTCACAGTATACGCACACGTTTTAGCATAGATATAGGACTTATGCATGTTGTGCCAGCTTTTGGCATGTTGAGGTGTCGTCTCTTAAAGCATAGGTTTACTAGTAGAATTCAGCACAAAAGTTTCGTAGTCATAGTTTCAAATCCTGCGAAGCACACCTCATAATGCGAGTATCTATGATCCTGAAATATCTGCGTTTACCTCAGTTAAGGGCACTTTCAAGTAATAAAACAGGTGAGGTCGGCACATGTGTGTGTGTGTGTGTTACATGGTTGGGGGTGCGTGACCCCATACCTGTAAGACTACCCATATGAGCCGAGGGCCCAAGGGCAATACTACAACGCCTAAAAGCCACGGAGAAAAAGGAAAAAACACCGCACATCAGCCCAGACTAACGTCCAAAGGGGGTAATTGAGTTTCGGTGAGCCCACATACGTTCCAACATCCTTGCCAGACGTGCGGGTTCCCATTGCATGGCCTCCAACATACTCTGTTGATGATCGAATCCCTCTTCAGCACGAATATCATTATAGGCTGGGCATTCCAATAACACGTGTTTTTCATCCTCAATTCGGCTATTAGGACCACAACAGTGGCAAAACCGCTGCCCCCTGGGGACATGGTACTTGCCCCTTCGTGCTCTGTTCGCCTCCAAAGCCCAGCAACATAAACGAAACTGCATTAGCTTACGGTGTGCTAAACGAGGAATGAAAACCTTAGCATGTGTTGGCCACATGACGGCTGCGGCTCCCGAAAAGGGCAGCCCCATCCAGTGCTTATACTTCGCCATTTGCACTCCCGGTTGCTTCCCATCTGATGGGTACTCCTCTGGCAAGACAGTCAGACGCGTATGGTCCCAGCCGCTCATCANACGCTCTCTTAGTGCCGTTATTATCGCTCCTTCTGGTAGAGGTCTACTCAACAACCAGTCAACACGCTCCTTTACCCCACGACTTCTTGCGGTATTCC